GCAAGTTCCCCGCCCTTGTACGGCAAACTTCCATTCGTAAAATTAGAACCTCTTGCCACCCGGTTCAAGGCTTGGGCAGCCATTCCCGGTGTTTCAAGGTGGGTTCTAAATAAGATAAAACGAGTTTACTCGCTCCAGTTTGCTCTCAGGCCACCTCGTTTCAGAGATATTATTCACACTTCAGTACGGGACAATGAAGCTCATGTTCTTCAGTCCGAAGTACAAATATTGCTTGCAAAAGGTGCCGTGGAAGTGTTACCTCTAGCGAACAGCGAGTCAGGCTTTTCAGCCGCTACTTCCTCGTGCCGAAGAAGGATGGCGGGCACAGATCTATTCTAGATCTCAGACTTCTGAATCGCTCTCTTATCAGACGGCCATGCAGGATGTTAACTTTGAAACAGATCCTCGTGCAGGTTTGTCCCGAGGACTGGTTTCTGACAGTGGATCTGAAAGATGCATACTTTCACATCCACATAACCCCCCGCCACAGAACTTTCTTGAGATTCGAGGGAGTGGCCTATCAGTACACAGTCCTATTGGACTGTCTCTGACCCTCGCACTTTTACAAAGTGCATCGACTCGGCTCTTTCCCCTCTAAAACAGATGGGAATCCGCATCCTCAATTACCTCGATGACTGGCTGGTTTTAGCCAGATCAGAACAGGAGCTAATCACACACAGATCGCTGCTGATCAGCCATCTGGAGTGCCTCGGGTTGAAAATCAACCCACACAAGAGTCAGTTGTTCCCCAGACAGCGAGCGGTCTTTCTGGGGACTGTTATAGATTCGACCCGAATGCGGGCGTGGCTTACGCCGGAACGGTCCCTGACTATTCAGCGACTGGCAGCATCTTTCAAGCCGGGGACTTTGCGTCCCCTCAGGACTTTCCAGAGAATGCTCGGCCTAATGGCGACCTCCTCTGTGATTCCTCTAGGCCTGCTTCACATGCAGCCTCTCCCATCTTATTGAGAAAATACTCTGATGAATGTGGTTTTCTCAAATTCAAAATTGCAATACATACAATGTATTGTTTCATTTGTTGTTTCATTTTTCTCCACATATTTCATGACAGGTTTTATAAGAGCACTGACTGTCATCTCTGTTATGCTGTGTAAGTATAAACTGTGTTTTTTACATTTGTGCCTTCACACTGACGTAATGACCGGTTACACTCCATGTCACTTAATTTCCGGAAAGCAAAGGGCATAGCGGTCGCAGGTCCAAGAATGCATTTACTCAAATCCTCATTTGCCAAGCTGTGGGACTTACAGGCATCACTTTCAAATTTGCATGATGTAAATATTCTGGCAATAACTAAAAATAACTTTAGGCTTCTAACATTCATTTAAAAATTACACAAGTCATGTAGGCTATATGTTTTACTATATAACAGCAAAATTTAACTAAAGAATTCAAGTAGTTTGCATCCCTGGATATTCCTGTCTTAAGATATGTTGGACATTAATTTCATAAACATTTAATGATTAAATGTTTCACTGCTTGAGAAGCTGAAGGTGCGGGTTGATGTCATCAAAATCGTTGATTCATATTGGCGGAAGTAAGAGACTATAAGTTTTGAATGCTTATATCTTCTAAATGCAAATTTTGTTGTTGTTTTGGATCACACTAGTTTATAGATAACCTTAAGGCTAACATATTCATACTGAAATGAAATGATCAAAACATACACGGACCGTCGAAGCAGGCGAGAGCCAATGAGCATTCAATTTCACTGCCGTAAAATTCGAGCGATGTCACGTCGGCTTGGCGCCCGTGTGCCCCGCTCCCTGCACCTCACCGAGTCGCCGGCGTTCTTCACGCAGGAAGATCAATGCCCCTCTTCTGCTGGATACAGCGGACATCCCCCTCTGGAAGAGGCGGTCGCCGCCCACCTGTGTCGACCATCCGCTCTCAGTCTGAAAGCCCGCACAGTGCATCCATCAAAGCCCTGCAGGACTACCTCAGCCCTGGCCAATGCTCTGTGATTCCTCTAGGCCTGCTTCACATGCAGCCTCTCCAATATTGGCTCAAAGCCCATGTCTTGTCCCACGCCTGGCGCCTGGGCCGGTTTTATGTCAAGGTAACCCATCGCTGTATCAAGGCTGTGGCCCCTTGGACGACTTCTCGCCTGTTTCAACCAGGCGTTCAGTTGGGACTGACCTCCAGGAGGAAGGTGGCTACTATGGACGCCTACAACATGGGTTGGGGTGCTCTGTTAGAGGGCTGTCCGGCATCCGGCCCCTGGTCGACCTACGAGCGGCGCCTTCACATCAACTGCCTCAAAATGATGGCGGTTTTTCTGGCCCTGAAAACCTTCCTGCTAGCCTTAAAGGAGCAACACGTCCTGGTCTGATCGGACAACATGACGTTGGTAGCCTATATCAACCACCAAGGTGGTCTCAGGTCATGCTCCCTTTACAGGATGGCTCGACGCCTCCTGCTTTGGGCACACAGCAGACTCCTCTCTATCAGAGCAGTTAATGTGCCGGGCAGTCTGAACCTTGGCGCAGACACGCTCTCCAGAGGCAATGTGGCTCTGGGAGAATGGACACTACATCTTATGACGGTTCAGAAAATCTGGTCTGTCTTCAGGAGGGCAGAGGTCGACCTCTTCGCCTCAGAAGACAACTCTCACTGCCCAATCAATTTCTCCATACAGCGAGACGCGCTGGCCCATGACTAGCCCAGCACTCGCCTCTATGCCATCCCCCCGATTGCCGTGCTTCCTCAGGTCATCAGGCGGGTCATGGAAGTTTGTTGCTCAATCCTCCTGGTGGCCCCACTTTGGAGGAACCAAACTTGGTTCCCCGAGTTAATGCAGCTGTCATTAGCTGCCCCATGGCCGATACCGTTACGGAGGGATCTTATCTCACAGGCGAAGGGCATGGTTTGGCACCCCCAGCCAGAGCTGTGGAGCCTTCATGTCTGGAACCTCGACGAGAGCCTTTGCGGCTCCCAATGAGAGTGAGCAACTCCATTTTGGAGGCAAGAGCACCGTCTACGAGACGGCTCTATGCTCTTCAATGTTCATTCTTCAGTGACTGGTGTGCAGCACGAAGCCTGGACCCGGTATCTTGTGACGTGTCCCACGTGCTGTCCTTTTTACAAGAGCTACTGGATAACGGGCGCGCCCCTTCCATGCTCAAAGTTTATGTGGCAGCTATCGCAGCGAATCATTCCCACGAAGCTGGCCAGTCAGTCGGCAGAAACGACTTGGTCGTTAAGTTCTTGAAGGACGCCCAGAGATTGTATCCTGCTCACCGTCAGACCGTGCCGACCTGGGACTTATCCATAGTCCTGAGCCTTTCGAGCCGCTCCATTCGGCCGACTTGTGGCCCATGTCGCTTATGACCGCCCTCCTTTTGGCATTAGCGTCGGTCAAGCGAGTGGGTGACTTGCAGGCACTGTAAGTCAGTGCTTCCTGTCTGGAGTTTGGGCCTAATGACTGTAAGTTCGTCCTCAAGCCAAGACATGGTTATGTACCTAAGGTGCTCTCAACTCTTTTCAGAGCCCAGATTCTTACCCTTCTAGCGCTCCCCGCTGCAGACGGCGAGCAGGGTCTCAATCCATTCTGCCCAGTGAGGGCCCTTAGAGCGTACATTGAGCGCTCTGGTCTTTTCAGACAATCAGAGCAGCTGTTTGTCTGCTTCGGAGGCCGCTGTAAAGGGCTGCCGGTTACGAAGCAAAGACTTTCCCGCTGGATAGTAGATGCTATAGCCTTGGCTTATGCCTCAGAAGGCTTGCAATGCCCCATAGGGGTGAGGGCCCACTCCACCAGAGGAATGGCCTCCTCCTGGGTGTGGTCCAGTGGAATTTCTATAAGTGAGATTTGTGCGGCTACGGGCTGGTCGTCGCCGTCCACTTTTGCCAGATTCTACAATTTAGACGTCCCTACCTTGCAGGCACGGATTTTGTCTATTTAGTTTGCTTATTTCCCCCCAAGGGCAGAAATAGTTATATCTGTATTCCTCAGCAGTGCTTCGGACTCAGTTTGGCTCATGTTCCTTGGAGTCCTTAATTAAGGCTCCTAGACTGGGCTCGCAGAGCAGGTAGTTCTATATCTGCTCGTAGCACGGCATGATTGGATGCGTTCCCCATATACAACGTGAGAGGACGTTTGAAAAGGAACGCTCCGGTTATTGACCGAATCGATGACTGTCGCTTCAGTCTAATGATTCAGTCTAATGATTCTGATGAAATGGCGCTCTGAGTCGACTTATATAGGTGGTCGGCTCCGCACATTCTGGTGGGCTAGAGCACCATTGGTTTGTGCAGCTACACAAAAGTGAACAAATCAGGCTTTAGTATCAGTGTAAACAGGAGTTTCCCCATACATAATGCTCGTTCCCTTATCTCAGGGAACAGAGGTTACGTTAGAAACTGGAGCGTTTTTATTCGTTGAACTTTCCAACGTTTGCAAATGACGTAGGAAAACACAGCGTCATTGTCATCATCGCGACGCGATTATATCCCAGATGTTCTGTAGCTTTAGCAAAGCAGCATGTAATGCCACTCTATGAGGATTATCTCGAGATCTATGTCATGTTATGTTGTGTTTGGGCTCGATTGAATCGAGAACACCTGCTCTAAACAAATATATGTGATCTACTATGGTTTACTAATGTTTGGTGAAGCTACAAACCAAAACGCGGTCCAAAAGCCGCATGTGTATGCAGTTTTTATGTAGCTACTTGGTATTGTTTGGTCTCTGCCTGAAGTAATTATGTTTGTCGTATTCTGCTAGTTGAGACCTTTTCAACGGTATATGACACATGAGACTATCTGTTAGGCATGATCCTTAACAGATCACATTTTCAAGTAGTCACATTTTTATTTCTCTTATAGACAAAACTAGCTGAAAATTTTCATTAGCTGTCGAAATTTGGATCCCTTTTTTATCTGATGTATTGTAAATTGATGTACCCTAGTTTGAAAGTCCACCCTATTTCATCAAGTTCCACTCACTGTAAAATTTCTGGCCTTGCTGCTGATTTGTATGGTATAGCTCAAAATTTACAGTTCTGCTTCCCCTTTATGGTGTAATATTATGCATATAATAAATAAATAGATGTAAATGTCTTCAGCCGCACTTCTGGATAGATTTGATAACAACAACACATGATAATAAGCATGATAATTAAAAATAAAATAAAATTTAATTAACAGCTAACCTCTCTGTGGACCCCTGCAACAACTACACCGTGCTGGACGAACCAAGGAGATCCATCAATAATACAAATTTCTTACAATCAACACCTTCCTACAATTGTGACACCTCTGTCACCTGGAGCGGCTGGTATCGTCTCTTCATTAATGGTCTGAACGCTTATATGCCAGAGACGTGTGTTGCAATAGGTCACTGTGACACTGCTACCACACTGTGGATTCGTGGTGGACACCCAACAGTTCAGGATGGAGTCGTCACTCGAGATGTCTGCGGTCACTGGCACAATTACTGCTGCTTTTTCTGGTCTTTTCCCATTAAAGTCAAAGCCTGTCCAGGCAATTATTATGTCTATGAGCTAATTAGTCCAGCTGTGTACTGTTCAGGATACTGTGCAGGTAATAATATTTACATGAGCTCTTTCTACACATTCATGATATTTGTGTTTCTGTACATTAATCACTATTCATCCAAACATTCAGATGTTGGCAGCATTAACACCAGCTCTACAACCGTCACACCAGCGATCGTCTCAACTGGTAATGTAACACACTGTGTCTCTATTGGCTTATTTTTTGGCTTGATGAATGTACATTGCCCCAGTAGTGCACAACACAATGAAAATTAAAAGCTAATGGACACCAAGGACCTAAGCCACAACACAGCAAAATGTAAAGCTAATGGTGTAATGAAATCCAAAGTTTGAACATTTTACTGTACTTTTTATAAAATAAAACCTTTAACTGCATTTATTGCTTTTGAAACTAGCCAAGTCATTCATTGGTATATGCTAATTTAAAAAGACTGATGCGGTCAAATCATACCATTACCTCAAGTATGAAGCCCAGATGTTAGCTTCAATGTGTCCTTTACTTGACCAAGAAATGGCACCGTGTGATGGTTTGGCTGATTCAATAATAATAATAATATGTGCAAAGTTTAGCAAGAAAACACAGCAACGAACTAAAACATAATGTCATAATGTATTTTAATTTTTTGCTGAAGTCCTTTTTTATTTAATAGTCCACTGCACAGACAAAACTGATGACTCTTCATGGACTCACAGATGCATGAGCCTGATGATCACCAGCGATCTCTGCATGTTAAGATAAATAGGGAGACTATAAAATGATAAATGTGTTGTCTGCCGTCATCTACAGCTGTAACCAGTGTTGGGTGTAATGTGTTACAAGTAGTAATGTGTATTACATACTGTAATCAGATTACTTTTTGATGTAACAAGCAAAGTAACACATTATTTAGTTAATAAATTATCATATGTAGAGAATTTAATATTTAATTTGCATGATAGTTTTTACTTGTTTGCTTAATTTGAGCCCTGATTGTAACACACAGAGGAATCAGCTAAGCAAGGTGTTCAGGATTGCTTGAAAATGACCTTTAAATGTGTGTTGAAGCTGGTTGGAAATAAATTTTGCAGGACAGTGGGTCTCCTGGAGCAGGGTTAAAGACCTCCGTTGTAATGCATTACTTTTAAAAGTAACTTTCCCCAACACTGTCTATAACCTGTAGTTTGTCATTTTAAAGTCGTGTTTGATGCCATGAGATTCTTTAGGTCTGTGTACTCGTGATACTCTTTATTATTAAAGAGTCAATAGTTGTTTAAATAAATATTTTAAATAAAACAAACTCTGTGGAAGAATTCATTTTAAAGAAAAAGTATTGCAACATTTCTAAGCAACAGAATTTTTATTTATATTTTCTTTACAGTTTATACCTGTGTTGACCCCTGCTACAACTACAGTGTACTGGACGATCCATGGAGAGCCACCAATAACACAAATGCTTCAGTCAGAAAGTGTGACACCTCTGTCACCTGGAGCGGCTGGTATCGTGTCTTCATTAACGGTCTGAGCGCTCAGATCCCAGACACCTGTGTTGAAAAAACTGGCTGTGGCACTGATATCCCACTGTGGATTCGTGGTGGACACCCAACAGTAAAGGATGGAGTCGTCACTCGAGATGTCTGCGGTCACTGGCACAATTACTGCTGCTATCACGGGTCTTACCCCATTAAAGTCAAAGCCTGTCCAGGCAATTATTATGTCTATGAGCTGGTTAGACCAAATTACTGTAATTTTGCATACTGTGCAGGTAATTATATTTGCATGAGCCTTTTTTTATTGTTTATTGATTAATTTATTGATATTAATCAGTCATAATTTTTTCAGCTGTTACTAACATCAGCAGCACCGAAACAACAGTCACACCAGAGATGAGCTCAGCTGGTAATGTAGTCTGATGTTTCCACTGTTGAATTGTGTTTTGGCTGAATGTTTGTGCATCTGTAGAATTGAACAGGTGTGTTGAGTGTGTTTGTGTTTCTAAAGACGAGGAATAATAGACTACATGAAATGTACAGTTGCAGATCATTGCAGACATTGTCATGATCATCTGTTCACAAGCTGTTATTAAAGCTGTGCTTGTTAAGTGAAATCATGTTTACACAGTTATATGTGGTTGCGTGGGCAGTAAATGGTATACTCACAGTAATTATTTAGCAAATTCTAAATTCTTGAAAATTCATTTTAGTCACCTTTATATTTTAGTATTATTATTTATTTTTTCCCACACTCTGGGCACATTCATCATGTTGATCATTGCTTTTATAATGTTTCACAGATTACATCTTTTTCATTTGCTGTTTTGTTTTATTATTGTCTTCATGCTGATTTCTGTCATTGCAGCTATAAATATAACACTGCAGGAAGGATGCACCGTAAGTTGAGTTTCTGAAATTGAAGTTTTAAAGTTGGACTCACAACTTCTATGAATCATTGTCCAAAGATATGATAAGAGATAAGAAAATAAGATATGCATTGTGGATTTTTGTAATATGAATGTTGACTTTCTATTTATTCTTTATGGATTTGTGCTCAAACTAACTTCTGTTTGCTATTAATATGTAAACCTGATCAAAATCATCAAATTCTGCCTTCACAATTATGAGTCAGACCTCTGGAGGATGTCTTCAAAATCTCTTTGAGCAGATAGAGAACATTACAGCTCAAGTGCTTCCTTTAAATGTAAGTCTACAAGAGAAAAATCATAACATTATCAAATATTTGTCAGTGGCATACTGTAGATGATTGACATACGGTCGCAGTGCATTCTTATTGGCTCTCTTGACTTTTATTTGTACAGTAACTGTATTTTCTGATTAATAAATTAGATTGTGACAGACATTTTGACTGTGGCCTTCAACGCTTCAGAGAAGATTTTAGAGACAACAACCTCAGCAAGCCCAACTGAACTAGCCTCCTATGGAAACCACATGTTAAAAACCAGTGAGAAACTCATTTCTACTTTAGTGAAGCCGACAAACACAAATGACAGTGTCAGTTTTACTCTTCCCACTGTAGGTAAGTGGAGACAATTATTATTGATGATGAAACTGAGATTTTGTCAGTGACTTTATATAGTTCAGAGAGCAGCAGTGGGTCAGACAACAATAATAAATGTAGATACATTACTATATGATTGTGTATAGTTGGCATTTTGTTCAAAGAATGCATAAAATCCTGTATCTTTTGTTGTTTATGTCAAAGGTCAGTATTTTGGCGTAATTCATCCATTATTCGGTAAAAGCTTATCAAATTAGACAGATGCCACATGGACAGGTTGTCTCCTGAAAAAAAAACATCCTGAAAAACAGAGAAAAAGAAAATACAACATTAAACAAGGTCTTGAGCATAAAAGATCTGACCTTTGACCTCCAGATGACCCTAATAGTTAAGAGTGCTTACATTTATTCAGTTTGCATATTAAATAAAAATTGACCTGAATGGTTCAAACTACATCAGAGATGGAAAAATCCAACAATAGTCAATGTTTGTTTTGCGCAAATTCAGTGATTGAATTAAACTTTCATAAAAAAAGACATACTATAAATAAATTACTGCAGCTCATAACTGCTTGTTTGTGTTTAATCAGAGGGACAAGTCTTCATGGTTGGACCACAGGTCACTTTAGATAAAATCCCTCGACTTGACACGACAAATTCATCTGTGGACATCGATCTCATTGGGATCGCCAAGAGCAACTATGAAACACGTATGTGAAATGATTCAGTGTGATTAAAAAAAACTAAAAAGAGACACTGTACCATCACCACTAAACCACGTTTAATTACTTTTTTGATTTTTTTAAACAGTATTGTGTTTCTGTCGCACAGGATCAGCTGCTGTGGCTTTCATGAGCTACAACACGATGGAGAATCTACTGAAGCCAGACTTCTTCAACACATCAAATGACACGGTTAAAACCATGATGTCCACTGTGATCTCAGCTACTCTTAAACTGGCTGTGGCACTGATATCCCACTGTGGATTCGTGGTGGACACCCAACAGTAAAGGATGGAGTCGTCACTCGAGATGTCTGCGGTCACTGGCACAATTACTGCTGCTATCACGGGTCTTACCCCATTAAAGTCAAAGCCTGTCCAGGCAATTATTATGTCTATGAGCTGGTTAGACCAAATTACTGTAATTTTGCATACTGTGCAGGTAATTATATTTGCATGAGCCTTTTTTTATTGTTTATTGATTAATTTATTGATATTAATCAGTCATAATTTTTTCAGCTGTTACTAACATCAGCAGCACCGAAACAACAGTCACACCAGAGATGAGCTCAGCTGGTAATGTAGTCTGATGTTTCCACTGTTGAATTGTGTTTTGGCTGAATGTTTGTGCATCTGTAGAATTGAACAGGTGTGTTGAGTGTGTTTGTGTTTCTAAAGACGAGGAATAATAGACTACATGAAATGTACAGTTGCAGATCATTGCAGACATTGTCATGATCATCTGTTCACAAGCTGTTATTAAAGCTGTGCTTGTTAAGTGAAATCATGTTTACACAGTTATATGTGGTTGCGTGGGCAGTAAATGGTATACTCACAGTAATTATTTAGCAAATTCTAAATTCTTGAAAATTCATTTTAGTCACCTTTATATTTTAGTATTATTATTTATTTTTTCCCACACTCTGGGCACATTCATCATGTTGATCATTGCTTTTATAATGTTTCACAGATTACATCTTTTTCATTTGCTGTTTTGTTTTATTATTGTCTTCATGCTGATTTCTGTCATTGCAGCTATAAATATAACACTGCAGGAAGGATGCACCGTAAGTTGAGTTTCTGAAATTGAAGTTTTAAAGTTGGACTCACAACTTCTATGAATCATTGTCCAAAGATATGATAAGAGATAAGAAAATAAGATATGCATTGTGGATTTTTGTAATATGAATGTTGACTTTCTATTTATTCTTTATGGATTTGTGCTCAAACTAACTTCTGTTTGCTATTAATATGTAAACCTGATCAAAATCATCAAATTCTGCCTTCACAATTATGAGTCAGACCTCTGGAGGATGTCTTCAAAATCTCTTTGAGCAGATAGAGAACATTACAGCTCAAGTGCTTCCTTTAAATGTAAGTCTACAAGAGAAAAATCATAACATTATCAAATATTTGTCAGTGGCATACTGTAGATGATTGACATACGGTCGCAGTGCATTCTTATTGGCTCTCTTGACTTTTATTTGTACAGTAACTGTATTTTCTGATTAATAAATTAGATTGTGACAGACATTTTGACTGTGGCCTTCAACGCTTCAGAGAAGATTTTAGAGACAACAACCTCAGCAAGCCCAACTGAACTAGCCTCCTATGGAAACCACATGTTAAAAACCAGTGAGAAACTCATTTCTACTTTAGTGAAGCCGACAAACACAAATGACAGTGTCAGTTTTACTCTTCCCACTGTAGGTAAGTGGAGACAATTATTATTGATGATGAAACTGAGATTTTGTCAGTGACTTTATATAGTTCAGAGAGCAGCAGTGGGTCAGACAACAATAATAAATGTAGATACATTACTATATGATTGTGTATAGTTGGCATTTTGTTCAAAGAATGCATAAAATCCTGTATCTTTTGTTGTTTATGTCAAAGGTCAGTATTTTGGCGTAATTCATCCATTATTCGGTAAAAGCTTATCAAATTAGACAGATGCCACATGGACAGGTTGTCTCCTGAAAAAAAAACATCCTGAAAAACAGAGAAAAAGAAAATACAACATTAAACAAGGTCTTGAGCATAAAAGATCTGACCTTTGACCTCCAGATGACCCTAATAGTTAAGAGTGCTTACATTTATTCAGTTTGCATATTAAATAAAAATTGACCTGAATGGTTCAAACTACATCAGAGATGGAAAAATCCAACAATAGTCAATGTTTGTTTTGCGCAAATTCAGTGATTGAATTAAACTTTCATAAAAAAAGACATACTATAAATAAATTACTGCAGCTCATAACTGCTTGTTTGTGTTTAATCAGAGGGACAAGTCTTCATGGTTGGACCACAGGTCACTTTAGATAAAATCCCTCGACTTGACACGACAAATTCATCTGTGGACATCGATCTCATTGGGATCGCCAAGAGCAACTATGAAACACGTATGTGAAATGATTCAGTGTGATTAAAAAAAACTAAAAAGAGACACTGTACCATCACCACTAAACCACGTTTAATTACTTTTTTGATTTTTTTAAACAGTATTGTGTTTCTGTCGCACAGGATCAGCTGCTGTGGCTTTCATGAGCTACAACACGATGGAGAATCTACTGAAGCCAGACTTCTTCAACACATCAAATGACACGGTTAAAACCATGATGTCCACTGTGATCTCAGCTACTCTTCCCAAAACCACCAACACTAAACTCACTGAGCCAGTCAACTTCACCCTCAAACACATCAGAGTGAGAGACTCACATGTGCTTTTGTCCAACCTGAGCACTGACGAACATCTGAAAACAAAACATCTAATTGTCATGAGCTGGGTTTGACTTTTCTCCTTGTTTCTCTTTCTCCTCTCATTACTGCTAGTTAGACTCAGCTGATTGACACCGCACCTGTTCTCTCTTTACCTTGATTCTCTCTGCTATTTTACTCTGCTTATGTGATTTCTTTTGATAAAATACTTCATGAAATATAATCATATATGGGTAACAGAGAAATTATAGCTACAATTAGCTTCAAGCTACACATGACAATTAATACAACCCTTTTACTTAAAACTTCTGACTGCGATCCAGTGTAGATTTTGGTCAAATGATGAGGCAGAGATATATCGTTAGTAACATTTTAGAAGAATTTTTAATGGGGAAGATACACAATAACAACTTCTGTGGGGCGTGAAGGAAAAGTAAAGTAACTAATTACTGTTGCCAGATAGTAATAAGTAAAGTAATAATGTTACTTTTGAAGGTAACACTTTATTTTAAGGTGTCCTTGTTACACATGTTACATGTACTTACTATTATAATAATTAATTATGCATAATTACATGCACGTAATCCTAAACATATAGTAAGTACATGTATCTAATTAATATTACTCAGTACTTAAATGTATAGTTACACTGTAACAAGGACACCTTAAAATAAAGTGTAACCCTTTTGAAGTAACGAGTAATAAATGACGTCTTTGCAGTAACGAGCCTAAGACTGTTTAGTACAGTTAAAGTCAAGTCTAGTCCAAGTCCTGTGATGTTTGTCATCTAGCTTTGCTCTCGGGTCCTCTGTTTTCCCTGACTCTAATATTCAGTGTTTTAATATCTTCTTCTTCTTTTTGCAGGAGTTTGATGTCAGCGGTTCTCTGTCCTGTGTGTACTGGAATATCAGCGAGTGGATTGTAGATGGTTGTTCTGTTCTGAAGACCAACGGCAGCTATACTGTGTGTTCCTGTGATCATCTGTCGACATTCGCTCTCATCATGCAAACCATCCGCCCGCCGGTGGTACGAGAGCATTTAGTGTAAACACTGAAGAACAGCACAGATTTGGCACTCATGTACTCTCACATGTTTTTTCAGAGCGACTCACTGCTGGAGCTGTTGAATTTGGTGTGTGTGATCGTGGGGCTGGTGTTCTTCAGTTTGGCCCTGTTGACCTTTGCCCTTTGTCAGTGGAGTCCTGGAGTGAATAATGTGGCTCGAATCAACATCTGCGTCAGTCTTCTGTTGGCTCACCTTCTGTTCCTGCTCACACAGCAGTTCCTGAGCCTCATACGGCGTCAGCAGGTGAGAATGATGAAGGAGCCCTACAGCTCAGGACAGCCTCACTGAGAATCATCATAACTGTCTCTCATGGTCTCCAGGTGTTGTGTGCCGTGATCTCAGGCCTTCTGCACTTCCTCTTTCTCTCCGGCTTTGTGTGGATGTTCATTGAAGCTGTGCTGCTCTTCATCTGTGTGAAGAACCTATCACAGATCAGCTCCAAAAAGAAGGAGGTGCTTAGCAGTGGATTCCTGTGTGTGATTGGATATGTGGTTGCTCTGGTCGTGGTGTGTGTGTCTGTCGGTCTGGTTCCTGAAGGCTACGGCAGCGAACAGTAAGTCAGGGTTTTCTCGGGAATGCATGGAATGAATAAGACTTTAGTTCAAGTCATTTTAAATATTAAAGGGGTCATCGGATGCCCATTATCCACAAGTTGATATGATTTGGGGGCTAAGGTAAGACACCAGTCCAGTCTGTGCTGAAACTCTACTGTCAATCAAACTATCGGGGGAGGGGCCTGTATTTGTGATGTCACAAAGACAGGCATCTGAGATCGGCTTGATTTGAGAAAGGCGAAATTATTTAACGAGATAAAAAAAAAAGCACTGGGTGGATCTTTATCATTATAGGATGGTTGTGTACACACACTGCCAACACACATTTCAGTTCAAACATCGGATGACCCCTTTAAAATGACCAGTAATTCAACTCAGTGGTCAACACCTTCATGCATGTTTGTTCATTTATTATGCTACTGTATATTCTTCTAAACAGCTGCTGGCTGAAAATGGACAAAAGCTTCATCTGGAGTTTTCTTGGTCCTGTTTGCGTCATACTAGCAGTAAGCACATTTCTAATTTTTCATGGCTTTGATTTGCATTAAAAGGAAAGCAAGGTGATGAATTATTGACGTCTTTCTACTTTGCAGTTAAACATGATTCTCTTCATCAAGATCGTCATCACTCTGAACTCAGCTCTAAAAAATCTCAACGCTGAAGTTTCACAGATGAAACAAACCAAGTAAGATTTAAAAATAGATTTAAACCAGTGCTTCTTTATCCCCCGCTCGGCACATTTTGTATGTCTCCTTTATCTGATGATCGGAATAGGAACCACTGATTAAAACGATTCATGCAAACTAACATAGAGTCAATAAAGACACATTAACGGTTTCTCTGCAGGATCATGGTGTTTAAAACTCTGGCTCAGTTTGTGGTTCTTGGTTGCTCCTGGATTCTGGGTTTCTTCACCAATGACAGTAAGGTGCTGGAGATCCTCTTCCTGATCTTGAACTCTCAGCAGGGAACCTTCATCTTCCTGATCTACGGTGTTCTCAATAATGAGGTCAAACATTACTTACAATCATCTTTACCTGTCTCACCTAATAAACTCCATCTGAGATTAACTATAATACCTTTCAGATTGATTTAAACTTGTGCCTCAGACACTTCCTTCCATCTGCCTCATGAATAACACGATCCTTTGTCCATTTTTCTTTGGGCTTTAACTTCAGGTCATGCAGCAGTTCAGGAAGTTCTTCAGATGTCTTTGCTGCATCAAACAGCACTGAAGCCTACAGAATCATGTTCAGGAAGTAAAAAGTGCTGCTGAAGTGCCATTATTATACACGTGATGCCATGCTTACAGTAAAATACAGAATCAATGTTTTGTATGTTAACCGTAGTCTCTGCTCCTTTCTGTACATGGTAAAAAAAATGTTACAAGTCTTTTGATATCACAACTTTAAATACTATGAATGTAGAACGTATACATCCGATTTTCTTGGTGGTGGGTGAAAAACATGTTTGTACAGTCTTACAGACACAAAATGTTACGCTAAATGCTTGCAAATTAAAAAAAAAAAAACTCCTGAATTTCATGTGTGCTTGGTGAAGTTTAATAAACTCTACACTTTACAGTTTAAGTAAAATTAAACAAAATATGAGACTTACACTTATTTTTTTGTTTGTTGAGCTCAGAAAGTTCCCAGAGAGGAAATTACTTTCTTCTGCAAGGACCCTTTTTATGGTACTTTTAATATTCAAAAGACAAAATATATTTTCAGGTCAGAGTGTCACAGGTTTTATAGGTGTGGTGGGTTTACCTTTAAAACTAAACTATTAAAATAACTAAATGAACAGCTGATGTCTCAAATTCAAAGTGAATCTGTACTGTCATGTGGCTTGTATTTATGCATTAAATCGTGAACGCTCAGGTTTTCATTGTTTTAATGCATTTTGTTTGTTAAAAGTTATGCCTTAATAAATAATGTGATACTGTGTGTTAGTGCATATGTGAATGTTTTTTCCACATTCCACAAAAGCTCCATATAATAATAGACTGACTGTAATTTGAGAAGAATATCCTCGTTTGAAAAATTAAATCCAGCCCTCTTCTGCAACGTCTCTGTATTTAAAATGTTACATGCAAAAGTCAGACTTCAGGTCCAACCCTGCTCCAACACACCTGCCTGTAATTATCAAGAAACCCTGAACACCTCGATTAGATAGTTCGGGTGTGTTTTAGTGGGGTTGGAGCTCTCCAGGAGCACGGTTGGAGACCCCTGGGTTAGAGGGAGTAGCACGCGCTGTCCTGGAGGAGAGAGGACAGATATTGTCTAGACAAGACGTCAAAGTAGAGCATAATGCGTAAAGAGAGGAGACAGAACAGAGGAAAGATGGGAGAGTGAAAGGGAGCGCAGGTTTCACCTGAATGCAACTGGCAGAGGGGTTGCTGGCACACAAGAAGTTGTAAATTAAGCATCAGTTTTGGGGATGATGCATTTCAAGTAATGCGAGTTATGTAATCAGATTACGTTTTTCAAGTAACTAGTAAAGTCATGCATTACATTATAATTTACGGGAAAACATCTTGAGTTTTTCTCACTCGCACAAAAACAGATTCAGCATTCCTCAAAATAAATAAAAACTGTGAAATGCAAACTCAATGTGACGCAAACCTGCAATATTGAAATGTGTTAAATAGCATTTATCTTTGCTGGTGACCTTTGATGATCCAGTTCCCCCATACTAATAAACAAAATTGACTTTAGATAAACGTAGCATTTGTGTTTTATTTTTTTATTGCTAAAGAGTGTTGAACTTTCTTCTCTTGCATCCTATTCTTCATGCCATCCAGAATGGGTTTGTTTGAGCTGTGCCCTCTACTGTACAGATGTGAATGCACATTTCCTTCAGCCTGAAGCTTGTTCATTTCACTTTTGGTTTGTAAAACATTGACCAAAATTAGAACTTTTTTATATTAAAATCAAACAAGCAAGCCCAGCCCAGATTTGAAAAGTAACTCAAGAGTAGCTCTGCAGCTTAATGCTCTAGATTAATGCTGAAGTCACTAAAAACACAAGTGGGCTGTATGACTTCGGGTCATATTTCCTTATCAAGGTGATGGACTGATAACTTCTCTATAAACATCTGAACACAACATTTTTTTTTTTAGTTGAGCAGTCATTGGTGTCGGTGAGGATCACTGTATATCAGCTCACATCAGGTAAGATCTTTCTGCTCATGATGATTCTTGTCAGTCTCTGTAAATCAGACATGTGTGGTTTGTGTGTAGTTACAGTCGAGTAATTTAGGCTTTGACCAGGTCAGGACTCTTTCTGTAATTCCTTAAACATTCCTTTTTAGCTTGTATAAATCCTCCAGATCACTTATAGATCTACACCATTTGTCAGGTATCATGTTTTTGGGAAACAGTTTGTGATTCTATGATGATTCTTATATGATCATTTCTGGGAAAACACTTCTTTAAGAGCATCATTTCATCCTTTATTGCATTATGCTTTGACAATAAGTGTTTAAAACGCTCCTCAATTTTGACTTGTAAAATGCTGATTTGTTTAATATTTTGTCTTCTCCAGATGTTCACTGATGGACTGGAGTGCTGTGGATTACTTGTGGATTATTGTGATGTTTTTATCAGACTCTCATTCTGACGGCACCCATTCACTGCAGAGCATCCATTGCTGAGACACTGATGCAATGCTACATTTCTACAAACCTGATGAAGAAACAAACTCATCCTGATCTTGGATGATCTAAAGGTGAGCACGTTTACAGCAAATGTTCATTTTTGGGTGAACTATTCCTTTAAAGCTAAAGTTAAATTAAAACATTTAGCTTCTGACTTTTAATGCTTAAGAACCTTCTAAAGTCTGTGCGATGATGTAAAAATATCACAAATCTGGATAATTTTAAAAAATGTGTATCAGTGAGATATTATAGTTTAAATAATATTTTAAATTCGTTTTTTTTTTTTTAGATTTTCTGTTTTGATTTCAACTTTAGTTAAAGTTTAAGTTTAGTTTAAAGCTTTTTTTAAAATTATGCCTGTTCTTTGTTTTCATGTTAATATCCGTTTTAGTCATTTTAGTACATTAAGTTAAAATAAATGAGAATGAGAAACTAGCTGTTTATACATATATATATATATTTTTTTTTTTGTTTTTTTTTTTTTGCTAAAGTTTGTTTTATTTCAAGTTGCATAAGTATTTTGTGGTTTTAGTTAATTATAACAACTATGTTTGGAATATGAAGAACTAATGCTGAGTCTAAAGGCTGATAATAATATTTGAATGTTCTCCTTTGTTATGCTTGCGTTTACGCACTGAATCATGAAAATGAATCTGGCACACACACACACACGCACGCACGCACGCACACACACACACGTCTTTGCAGCATGTAAGAATATCTGCGTTTGTTTTGTTGTTTAGTTAATCCCTAAAATAGATTATTTTTGCCTCAATATCAGGTCTCTCTCAAGCAGCATTTGCTCTTTTTTCCTGAAACATATTTTGAGTAACTGTAACCTTCGTTCTGTTCTGCTCCAATACTTTACAGTAATTAGTTCAGGATAAATATGTATTTGGACTGGGATCGTTACATGTATTTCTAATGAGGCTTTGGCTGCTTGGGTAAAACATGAGCTGGATAAACACAGATGGTTCATCACATGACGTTGACGAGTGATTTCTATTGCATTACTACAGTTAACAATGGAAAACCAATAGAATCACTCAGGAAAACACAAAATGAATGATCATTACGGCACTTTAAGAGACTGTAGGTCATTCATTACCTAACTTTAATCATTCTGAAATTAAACTTGCATTATTTTGTTGCAGGTACACTTTTTGCAAATACAGTAAAGTTGAAAACACAGAACCTGTACGTTCTCAGAAATAAAGTTATAAAAGCTGTCACTGGGCCGGTACCTTTCCAAAAGTGTACCTTTTTCCACCCCTAAAGAGTGCATATTAGTACCTAAAATGTACCTATTAGTACCTAAATATATTAGTAGGCTACCTTTTGAAAGGGTACCGTAGCTTGTGTGTCTTTTTTTTCTAAGAGAGGTTAGTGGAGTTTAAGTCAAGAATCACTATTACTATATTTCATATGCAGTGTTGGTGATTTGAACAAACCCCAAATGTAGTAAACTGAGATGTGTAACTTATCCAGTTACATGACAAACACTGGGAGTCAAAATCTGGAATAATTCAGATTTGTAATGTTTTTGAAAAAAAGAATCTTCTGCTTTTCGAGGCTGCATTTATTTGATCAAAAACACTGCAAAAATGTGAAATATTATTACTATTCAAAATAACTGTTTTCTATGTGAATATCTGTTAAACTGTAATTTATTTCTGTGATGCGCAGCTGTATTTTCAGCATCATTACTCCAGTCTTCAGTGTCACATGATCTTCAGAAATCATTCTAATATGCTGATTTGCTGCTCGAGAAACATTTCTGATTATTATCAATGTTGAAAACAGTTCTGCTGCTTCATATTACACATTAGCTGTTTCAAAAAAACTGAAATAAAAATTCATAAGAACTATATAGACATTTAAAAAATAAAAACGACAGCCTAAATTACTAAAACTTTAATTAAGTAAAACAAAATATAAAAATAAAAATGAATTCAAAATAATATTAACTAACAGTATATCAATTACACTAAGATAGTTCATCTAGGCATACAAACTGTAATATTTTAGTTCATTGATTCAATTATTTTGCAAACATTATCATCTAGTGGCTATGATTGGAATTGCATGTATGGTGAACATTGATAATAATCAGAAATGTTTGTTGAGCAGCAAATCAGCATATTAGAATGATTTCTGAAGATCATGTGACACTGAAGACTGGAGTAATGATGCTGAAAATACAGCTTTGATCACAGAAATAAATTACATTTTAACAGATATTCACATAGACAACAGCTATTTTAAATTGTTAAATTCTAGATAAAATGTTTTTAATTAAATCATTGAATTACCATACATCATATGTGAATCTCTCTCTCTCTCTAGAGTATCAAACCAAATTTTTAGCCCATATATTATATATAACATATTATGTATATACTATATTACGTATAATATAGTACATGTTTAGTATTATTTATATACTATTAAAATATTTAATAATATTCTTAATTAGTTTGTATTTCTATATTTAAAGTTTTAATGATAATTTTAGTAATTTTTGATGTGCTCGTGTCATTACTATTATTGTTTTGTAGTATTTATATTTAGGTTTAATTAATTTTTTATTTCAGATTTACCCATTTTAGTATTTTAAATTGTATTAGTTTATATAGTTATGTAGTATATAGTTTTATTAGTTTATGCCAAGGCAACGTTTGGAGCTTTAAATTATTAATTTGGTGTAGGATTTACTTTGAAACAATTTTCACTCAGAAATTGCTAGTAAATTTCACAAATAATTACACAGAAATGTGAAGAAACACAATGAATTAAAAAAAAATTTTTTAAGTAAAAATACTGAAATAGTGCAGTAATATCTTGTATTTTTTATTTATTATTTTTACAGTGGAGTGCCAGCA